GTAAGTTATTTACTTATAAGTTAGGGCTAAGAGTTATTCACGTTCCATAGTTAAGGGCTTTTTAGTGAGACTATATTCGTTATCTAAGTCTAAACACTTATCATACCCACACTACTATAACCGTTAATCTTCGAAGCGAGATACATATGTATAGATCTATACGGGGTTGACATCCCCACCAGCAGTTGCTAGCTACAATCTCGAACGATCAATTGAAGTGGGTGATAAGTGTCTACTATTGTTACTACAACGTCTAATGAAGAGTTGTAGGGGGTACATTCAATCATATAGCTCGGTTATATGACTCACTATAAACATTAACTAGAATCTCTCTTTCTCTCTCACCACAAACCATGGGCTTGGTTGCTTTTAAAACTATTTTAAGTATGGATTTACTTATGGTCTCCCGTTTACTACAAACCATGGGCTTGGTTTCTTTAAAAACTATTTTAAGTATGGATTTACTTATGCAACAGTACAATTTGGTTTTCAAGTATATTCAAGGATTCTTTACAAACACAGTTTTAAGTATGGATTTACTTATAAAAAGATACATTTTGGCTTTCAAAGACTCTTTACAAACACAATTTTAATTACAAAGAAAATACTTTTTAGACTTTTTTAAAGTATTATTGTTGTTAGCAGAAAACCTGTAACTGTCACCAACCTTGTGTTGACCCTCAGGAAATCACTAAACATACATTCAAGACGGAATGGATTACAGGCGACCTAGTTTACTAGCTATTGTATTATCTGCCTATCTATTAAGGTAATTCATGTACTATTATTATCTGTAAGAACCTTGTATTCAAACATCAAGATAGAATGCTATTTCTATTTTGTTTATTATTGTACTTGTTTTGTATATTCAGTTTACCTATGATCCATGAACTTAGTCGCATAGTCCGACATATTATGCCGCCTCGGTTGGGGGTGTGACACATTCACACAAGAAAATAATCTTGAAAAGGAGATGGATGATTGTATGGCGAAGTTGGCAAGCTTGGAGTGACGAGAATATGATCCAAAATACACCACTGCTCTTATGTTATTTTCTGAAAGTGCGGGTAATAGGAAAATTTTGTTGAACCTTAACTTGTCAACTTGTGAGTCGTGGGTAACAAATGCAGGAAGAAAGTTTGGATTTTTTTTTACTTTAGTATGTTATGGTTCATTGTTTGACTTTAGTATGTTATGGTTCGTTGTTTGATTTTAGTATGTGATGGTTTATTGTTTGACTTTAGTATGTTATGGTTAATGTGATGGATTTTTTTGTTTAGAGTTGTTATGTGTTATGAATTATTTTGTTAGGTTTGTTATGTTTTATGAATTTATATGTTATGGAATTTTATGTGTTTAGGATTTATATGTCATGGTTTAGTTATTTTATGGATTGTTATGTTATTGATTTTAGTGTAATTTGTATTTGACATTGAACATGTCACATTTGGATAAAGAAGGTGACTTTTTATATTTTCTTATATTCTCATGACATTGGTTGATGTTGGTTCAGCGAAGGCAAAGAATAATTAAAATAATAAGCGCTAGCGAACCAATAGCAAAAGGGCATGTGTATATGCAAGATTGGATACACGGATGTCCTATACAATGTTACGATATGATGCATCTTTCACAAGATGAATTTGTACTATTATGCAATCATTTTACACAAAGAAATTGTTTGCAACATAATAGGACAATAAGAGTTGAAGAGAAGATATGTTATAGGACATAATGAACGTTTTCGAGTGGCTAAAGAAATATTTCATCGCTCCACACAAACGATTCATCAATGTTTTTATGAGGTCCTATGTGTAATGATGTGTTTTGCAAGAGAAATTATAGTACCAACAACGTCTAATCCAACAAGAAATATCTTAGAACGACATAGACGACTAACACACATATTTCCTGAAGCAATAGGTGCACTAGATGGAACACTTATACATGCAGTTGTGCCCGTTGATGAACAAACTCGCTATAGGGGAAGAGAAAAATATGAATGTTATCAAAATGTAATCAGAATTTGTGATTTCGATATGATATTCACCTTTGTATGGGCTGGATGGGAGGACATAACACATTATTCTAAAGTTTTGAAAGAAGTTGCATTTAATCTGACTTCCGGATTTCCATTCCCTCCACCAGGTTTGTAATTTTTCTATAAGTTTTATTATCTATATTATTTATGTGATAAATTTGTAATCATTTACAGATAAATATTACATTTGTGATGCCGCATACACCAACACCTGTGGATTTATGGCTCCTTACCGTAATACTAGGTATTGGTTAGCCGATTTTCGAAGAAAAAGAACTTTAACTAAGGAAGAAAGGTTCAATCATGTTCATGCACAACTTAAAAATATCATATAACGTGCTTATTGTGTATTTAAGGCGAGATTTCCAATCTTAAAACAAATGACTCATTATCATTTTCTAGTGCAAAGAGACATGATCATTGCTTGTGTTACGTTCCATAATTTTATAAGGAAATACAATATTCAAGATGACTTATTTACGAACTTTGAACAAAACACTATAATTACTCCTGATGTGGAAGGTGGATGAAATGGGTGCCAAAACATACAAGACATGGAATGGGGTGAGTTTAGAAGTCGATGACTATATGACTACTTTGCGTGACCAGATTGCTAATCAGTTATTTTCGAATGGTTAACGTTAAATTTGTATGCAATTTATTATGTACTTTTTTATTTTGTATGACAATTTGTATTTTGATTTTGTATGACACTTTGTATTTGAATTTTGAATAATGTATGTTTAATTTGGATTTTATGTGATAATTTGTATTTTTATAATTATTTTATCCAGTATAAGAGACAACACAAGAGTAATATGATCATTTTTATCATTTAACACAATCAGTCAGAAAAATAATAAAACAATATAAACTCAGTCAACATTTCTAACCAGTCATCTCTAACCCAATTAGCAACTATCAAACGACCTCTTAGCCGGTTTCAGATTTTTCAACGTCAAAAACCAAGTACATTGCTCCAGTTTCAGTTTTTTCAAGTAAAAAATCGAAATTTTTTGGTTAAGTTTTGGTTTTTTCAAAGTAAAAAACCAGATAAGTATGTTCGTTTTCAGTTTTTTCAAAGTAAAAAATCAAATCTTCGGTTAGCTTTTGGTTTTTTCAAAATAAAAAACCTAATATGTAACAAAATAAAACCCATCTGAATAAAATATGTTTTTTTGGTTAAAAACTCACCCCGATGTCAAAATCCATAACGACACTTGGGTTTTAACATTCATGTCTGATATTAAGTCCTGTTAATTTCCTTGTGAACCTGGTCCAACGCACACAAATCAAATCATAAATACTCAACTTTCACACAATAATTCACTAAATTCTTCCAATTAGACATTTTTTGCCAACTAACAGTTTAATAACTGTCTAAAAATACGTGGCAAATTGTAACCTTATCTTGAAATAAATTTAAAGAAAATCTGAAGATCGAGAAACATTAGGGCTTGACCCTCATTTGAAATCACGTGTTTCTCGTGGGAAGGTCAATATTCCAATTTCAACCGGAATCAACCAATCTTCTTGGAGTGGCTGAGTCTCATTCTCGGCGACTTTTTCTTTTGTTTAGTTGCAAAGAAGTAAAAATGCAACATAACCCCTTACACTATAACTTTACTATAATCGACCCCTCATAGTTTTCTCTAATCCCAAATTTAGTCCTATAAATTGCTTCTTGTAAAAAGTGCCAATAAAAGAAATAACTTATTATTGTGTTAGCATTTTATCTTCTAATTTGGTCAAACAACTTCAAATTTATTAGAAATTATTTGTGTTTATTGCAATGTATTTTTGGTGAGACCATTAAAATATCATATAATCTAGGTTTAAATAACATATTTGAGATAGTCTAATAATAAATTCATGGAACTTTTTTTTTTGACTTTTTTTGTTATATATATAACTTAACATCCATCGTTCCATAAGAAAGATTAAAATAGACGTAGCGGGTAAACGAGCAAAAAGCTGTGCCACAACCCTTTTTTGGATGACAAAACTAATTCTTTTAAAAACAACATCTATAGATATTGGAGTCATAACATTACTATGCATGACCCGTTGGACTCTATTGAGTAGCTTCACAGCTTCTGGTGCAAGGAACTTTTTACATAAGTTTTCCAAATTACCCATATACTCATTCTGTTATATACATTTATATGTTGATTTATGTCGATTTTTACTTTTTCCTTTAATTTATTAGTTGTTAGCTAACTTATGAAGTACAAAATATATTTTCAGTTAAAAGTTAGTTTTTAAGTTAATATGTCAAAAACAAGGTTAAGTAGGCCAAAATCTTAATTAGCAAGTGAAGTGCAATTTTATGCTTATTTGTGGCTTAAAAATAGAAGTACAAAAGCTAATGAAATCAAATGGCTTGATTGGTGTACTAACCCGTCTCGGATATGCTTGTATCTTTCTTCTTGGCTACTCGCTACCTAGCTTAATTTCTTTAATAAAAACTTTCTTGTTGTTCAAAAAAAATGTCAAACACAACATTCCGTCAACATTTTATATATTTTGTTAGCTTATTATAGAAAAGCTAAACTAAAAAAAAAAAAGTTTTTAAGCTATTCAGTCAAAAGATAAAAAGTATTAATGGTTTAGTTATGATTTTAGAAGTTCAGTGACCAAATTATAATTAACCAAAAGTAATTTACCTTTTAAAAAAAAATTACTTTTATACTCTAAAATTTTAACTTTTTAGAGGATATGAACTACTGTGCAATCCGTATTTATAGGTTGTTATCTTGTTATTAAAAGGATAAATTAATGGATAATTTGTAAATTTAAACTTAGTCATACTACTATTTTTGGGAGACTAAGAAGTTATCCGATTAAAGTAGAACTAGATAGGCGCTTATAAATACATATTTCATTTCCATGCTGCGGTGAATTCATACATTATAATCATTCTCATCTTTTCTGAATCTTCTTCGTTTGGATTTCAAATATGGTGATGAGTAATGAGAGGATACGCACGATTGTTGGACTCATTGGTACGTATGTTTTCTTCGAATCTCCATATTTTCTTTTTTCCAATTAACTGTTCGATGGATGATTTCTTGGTGGACCGATTAATCGTTCCTATATATACGTTATATGTATTTGGAGCATTTTGATATAGATTTAGATTTTTTGCTGTTGTTTCTTAAAATGCATATGTTTATGTACGTAATTGGGTCAGAGTTTCAGAATTGTTCTGAAACCGACATTAAAAACGTATGTATTGAGATTTCATTAACTTTTGACGTTTTGATTTGTTTAAATAACTAGAAATAGTGTGTGAAATTCATATTATTTCATTACCTTTCTACGTTTTACTGGTTACATGCAGAGGTGAAAATGAATCGTGAATGAATTAGTCTTGGTAGGATAATTATTTTTTGATGCATGCATGAAATGAAATGAAATTTAATTTCTTTTATTGTTTCTTCCGTTTTATCAATCTGTTATAGTATATCTGGACGATCAACTTCCGTTGTTACTATATGATTCATCTGTTCAACTTCCCATTTCAAGTTTAGATTGCTGTTTCTTCTACATTATTCTCTTTGCTATATTTCAATGATGAGAATCATCACTAATTCGTTCATTACTTTCTCTTCAACAGGGAATGTCATCTCTTTTGGCCTGTTTATCTCTCCCTCGTAAATTCCTTTGCATTATGATTATACACCTCAACTTGTTGTTTGTTCTATCAATGCGATAATAATATAAATATAATCAAACTGATAAATATGACAGGCCTACGATATGGAGAATCTTCAAGAACAAATCAGTAGAAGAATTCTCACCAGACCCTTACATAGCTTGTGTCATGAACTGTTTGCTATGGATCTTCTATGGCTTACCTATCAATCATCCAGATAGCACTCTTGTCATCACCATTAACGCTACTGGTCTTGTATTGGAGCTCATCTATCTCAGCTCATTCATCGTTTATGGTAAAAATGCACATAGGGTACGTACTATGATCACTACTTCGCTACTTCTTCTTTCTAATTTTCATATCATAATAATATCTAGACTGCTTAATCTTCTCCTACAGAAAAAGATCTTTAGCTGGTTAGCTGCGGAGCTTGTTGTACTTGGTGCAATTGCAGGTTTCGATTTGGGATTCTTTCATACTCATGATAAGAGATCAACCTTCGTTGGGATTTTTTGTGTGGTGTTTGGTATCCTCATGTACACTTCCCCTCTAACTATCATGGTATGTTTTCATTTCTCTTTTGCATAAAATAGTAATTCAACATTTTTGATTGATTTCATTTATTTTGAAAAACCAACAGTGGAAAGTAATAACAACAAAGAGTGTCGAATACATGCCTTTCTATCTTTCATTAGCTGCCTTCTTGAACGGTTGTTGCTGGACGACTTATGCTCTTCTCAAATGGGATTGGTTCATTCTGGTAATTAATCTGTTAAATGTTTTCAATTAATGTTCTTCATCCAATAAATTAAAAAATAATCAAATCTTAAATGCTAAATTTTGTATTTTGAAATTACAGATTGCGAATGGTACTGGGGCTCTTTCTGGGTTTGCACAACTTATTTTATATGCATGTTTCTACCGAACAACTCCGAAGAAGAATAGCAAAAGGCCGGATTCTGAAGTACAAATGGCTTAAAAGGAGGACCATTCGTACCCTTTTGATATAATGTAAATTCAGATTTGGATTTTTAGGTTTTTGAAGGTACGTATGAGGGATTTTTTTTAATAGTTTGTTTAATTAGGTTTTTGAGATTCTCAATGTTTGAATTTTTGGTCGAATTTGAATTTACTTTTATCATTTGCTTGGTTTTTTTGATTGTTGATAACTTTTTTTTTTTCCTTCCATTATAGAGTTAATTAAATGGATAAACCTTTATTGGAACTCATCGCATATAAATTCTAATCTACTTTTTAAACTCTTCGTTAATTTATCCTATATGAGACTTAAAACTTCAATCTTAAATAAAAAGGATCTCGTTGGAGACGTAGGTGGATTTAGAAGTAATATAATAGGAGTAAGTTAGATTTGCTGTTCAAAATAATAATAATAATAATAAAAAGGGATCTCACCATACCATCCCCACTAGAAAGGTGTTGTGTTTTGTGTGGCGTGCAAGGCTCGGAAAGATCCTTAGCGCTTTGGAGTTAAGTAAAATGGGAGTTTATATTAATTCTCTGAACTGTCTGGTGTGTGGTAATAATACGGAATGCTCGAACTATTTACTCGTCTCCTGCCCGATGGCAGAACAAGTGATAAACATGGTTCTCAATTGGTGTGGCATGGTGATTAAACGCTTCAAATCTGTGAAGGAGATCGTGACATTTGCGTGCAAACATGAGCAAAATCGAAAGAAGCAAAAGGTGTTATGCAGTATCATCTTTGGTGCCTTATGGTGTATTTGGAGAGCCCGTAACAAATTGGTATTTAAAGGAGTCAAGACCTCGCCGGCGGCTATTGTTGATATAGCAAAATCTATGGTTTTTGTATGGTTGAAACACAGATCACCAAAGGGGAGTTTAGATTGGAAGTCTTGGATCTCTTCCCCCCTTAATTGCTTGTAAATATTTTCTATTTCCTGTTCCTGTACTCCTTGTTACCACTAGTTACTTGCTAGTGGTAACTTTATAATATATTTGCCGGTTCAAAAAAAAAAGAGATAGGTTTGCCATAAAATCGTTCATGGGTAATTATTTATGAGAGATTTCCGACTGACTTTTCCATTCAAAATACGGATGACCGACTGAATGTGATTGACCAAGTTTGACTGTATTTTCGGATAGATTACGATGGGTTGTATTTCCCGATAAATTCGATTTGACCACTTTTCCAACGAACTGTTTTGCTATAGATTTTCGACGGACTATTTTAGTTTTTAGTGACATGATATTTCTATCACTAATCCATCATTAAAATGAATTTTTTAAAGTAAACAAATCATGCTAGAAACATGTGTTTGATGACTAATGAATCCATGAGAATTTTACGTTCATTTATATATATAAGTCATTGGTCATGGTTAGGTTTGCAAACCATACTTCGAATTATGTCTATTTTGATTTTGATGGAACTTTGGATTCTCAAACCCCCGATCCTTGATGAAATCCAAATAAGCTATGAAATTTTTTGTTCATGTATGATGCTAGAAACACATGGTTAATCACCACTAAATCATTACTTCATCCACCACTGAATCATTACTTCATCATAGAAGTTTTAGATTCCATCTCCATGGATGACATGGTTATTTAAATCACATGCAACAAAAATTAAATAGGGTTTCGACTGAAAGACCTTGCACTACAACGGTTGGACTCAAACAAGAGCTACGCAATAGAGCCAAATCAAGCATTCTAAAACTATTTCATCCTTGTGGAATGTAACCTAACGTATTCGCTTAACACTTAGCTAATATCAGTATAGGTTTCACATAGTAAAAAACAAACAACATTCGAGCAACTAATCGATCATGCAACAAGGAATCATAAAGATCAGGAAATTCTAACATACAATTCCTAAAAGATCCTTAGCCTACACGCTATCACGTATCTCTAACAACTCACATAGCAAGCATAAAAGGCATCTCTCTTACGCAGGCATTCTAGCATGAAATACTAAGCAAATCCTTATTTTGAACTTTTATAATGCATATCATATTACACCACATATAACACATCAACATATATGGGTAGTGTAAAAACTTTTCAGAAAACTTTTTTATAAATGAAATCCTTTAGTCCTCAGTTTGAGTTCAGACGCACCTAGTGCTAGGCTGAATCCCTCAAACCAAGGTTGTGATGCCAACTTGTAACATCCCAAAAAAATAGAGTAATTTTTTTCATTATAAAACCAACTCATTTTCATACAGAATAAAATATGTTTAATACACGAGTTCAAATCCTAAAACCAATTATCAGAGTAATAAATAAAATTCATAAAATGTTGAATCTCCAATTGATGCGATACAATCAAGCTGCCCCTTCCCTTTGCCACCAGAAGTACGTAAAACATTTTAATACGAAAACCGAAAGCACAAAGCTTAGTGAGTTCCTCATGATACCACATACCAATGTGAATCTTATGATCCAACCATAGTCTGACAATCATTTATGTTGCTACAGTCCAACCACATTCTTTCCTTCTATGATCCAATCATAGTCTTTCATTTATGTGTTGTGATCCGGCCATAGTCTTTCATATACATGTTGTTATCCAACCACATTCTTTCATATAGGTGATGTGGTCTAACCATAGTTTTTATAGAGGTGATGTAACCCAACCACATACTGTTGAAACAATAAACTAATGATCGATAGATTCAATAACATTATCACACCCCCAAACCGGAACGACGGAAACGTTCGGGGGTGGATGAAGTCATGTGTAGTATCACAACAGTTGCATCATAGTAATCATAGTAAACACAACCATTACATTGAATATACATGAAAAAGAGTTTACATCTGTTTGATTCTTGACTTTATACATCGTATAATCAAAAGAAAAAGACGTGACCCTATAAGCTCTGTCTTCTCAAAACTCCAGGAAGTACCTGTTTACTGATTTCCTGATAATACAAGCAGTTTTGAAAGAGTATCAGCATAAAGCTGGTGAGTTCATAAGCGATATTTTTGTAATGAAAACCGGTTGATGACTCTGTTAAAATGTTCGTACGTCTCCAAGAAAATCCAATGTTTTCTTTAGTGAAAGTGTGATGATATTAGTTCTATCTATGACTACTTAGTTTATGCTAGCCATGTATAAACCAATATCGAATAGACTGTTGACTATGTGGATCTGCCCTAAGCCCACAACCAAACAAGGAACAGGAAATGAGGCGGAAACCACACATTCCACAGCCTATCGAATACTCTCCATACGTGACCCTGATACTTAAACTAAGTAATTATAGAATTATCTATGAATGTTCGTTACTGAAATCTGTTGTAGCATAGGAAAATACTAGTTTGAATGTCTGGTTAATACTAATCATAGTATGTATGTATTCTGTACAAAAACCATTGTATAGCATGTTCCCTTTTAAAACCCTGGCTACCACCAGTGTGTATAATACATTCTGTTTGAAAATCCTGGCTACCACCAGTATGTATAGTAGTTTTATTACTTAAAATAAAACCATGTATTGTATCCCCTGGAATCCTCCAGTAATGTATAGTAGTTCTATTAATTAAAATAAAACTAATGAAGAATGAAATCCCGTAAACAAATGGTTAGTTTATACTATTGTGAGTCGTATAACCATGCTTAATATGACTGATGACCTCAGCGACGTTCTTCAGGCGTCGTACGGTATGATATTTGTCACCCCAGGCATGCCTGCCTAACTGTAGCTAGCAGTTTAGGTGTGGGATTGTCAGTCCCGAATAGATCTATTCACAAATCTCACGCTCTCCCTCCTGGAGACTCGGGTTACATTAAATGTTGAGGATTTTACCAGTACCCAGAAGGGTAAAAATGAAGAGTGGTATCACAATCCTATATTAACTAGTTTACGTGTGGTTCTGTAGTGATCTAATGTATTGAACTTTGTGTGTATACTGTATACGGTAATAATTATACTTAAATAATTATTAAATGTTGTTCTCTTGTAGTAATGTATGTCATAAACTAAATCTATCATAGTTTATGTGGTTACCCATGTATGTAATCTAAATCGATAAGAGCTATGTATTTAATTCCCCAAACTATACCTATTATAGTTTTGATTGAAAAGTTATGTACTTGATTTGTAAATTGTTCTGAAAACTATGAAATTATGTTTTCAAGTTGTAAGCGTCCCTTATGCTCAGCATAGTACAAAAGGGATAAAATGTCTAAATGTTTCATAAAACGTGGGAAATCATTTAATTGTATCAATTGCATAAGTTTTAAACTCGTTAAAATCCTTTTGTTTTTGTTTCGCAAAATCATTTGTGTTTGCCTTGTATTCCCCCCTGAAAACATTAAAAATCATAAAAGCGTAGGGGTATGAACTCACTGTTTGTCGCGTACAAGCGTCGAATCAACAGAATGAAATGAAGACCCTCGAGTTGTAGTGTGTGGCACTTAACGGAATCCTAATAACAATTAAATACATATATGTATCTAGATTAGCGACTTCGTTAGATAAAGTGTTACATAAACACTTGCTTTCGGTTAAGGAATGTTACCGAGACTTGTTTGAATCGAGGAAAGTGAGTTTTCAGTCTAAAGCACCACTTAGGAAGTGTGTACGACCGTAAATGGGGTGTACGGACGTGAACATGTGTACGGTTGTATACAGGTGTACGGCCGTAGACAGTCTCTTGAAGGGTGTATGGCCTTTAAAGGTTTGAAGTGTGTACGGCCGTAGAATTATGTACGGTCGATGAAGATTTGAAGACTTGGAGGGTGTACGGTCGTACACTCAAGAACAAAGATGCTGAAATCGATGAGAAACGTGTTCTAGGTGCTCTGAAATGACCCCCAATGGTGATTTTCCACGTTTTCCCGGAAGAATAAGGGTGTTTTAGGGGTGTGAGGTCACGAGTTTAGAGAGAGAAGGAGAGAGTGTTCGGCCAGAAAAGTGTAAATGAGGGGTAGGGCCTCATATTTATAGGGGTTTTTGGTGGTCGGTGGTGGGGTCCACCCGACTCTGG